GAAGTCGTGGTTGTTGTGTGGATGATGTGGTGGGCCGGAAGAAGATTAGATCGGATTTATCCGGGTCGTATTTAATTTGGAGTGGCTCAGCTTTTATTAGTCTCTCTCTCATTCGTTCCTCCATTCTCTTGATTGTGAAGCCTGGTGTTTTGGATATTTGTACCAGCGCATCGTCATCGATGTAAGTAGTGTCCATCTCTTTCGGGCTGCTTGTTGGGTCCAGGATTACCCCAGCATATATCATAAATAGCACCGGGGACATGGGGCTACCTTGCGGCACTCCAGAATCATAGGGCTGTGGCTCTTCTAGCTCATGGTTGAATTGAAACTGTAGTTTTCTGCCGGTATTGAATTCCTTGCACCATTCTGTTAAGTAGGTAGGGAATTTTTGTTGTTGCATGATTTCCGCGAGGAGTAGGTGGTCGACGCAGTTAAATGCTCCTTGGATATCATTGGTTAGGATCGCTGGTCTGTCTCGCCGAGCGACTCCGGTACTGTTTTTCAGTAGTAGGTTTTGCTGTATTGGCGTTAAGGTTCTCAGCAGGGCGTCGATTGCCGAGATGGTTGGTCTTCCTCCAAATTGATTCGCTGAGAGTGTGCCTAGAATTTCTCCAGCGGTGCAGAGTCTTTGGGCCACTATCTTCTCCAGGATTTTACTGAAGCATTGTAGAAGGGAAATGGGCCGGTAGGCTTTTGCGTCATGATAGTTTGCTTTACCGGGTTTCGGGATCGGGATACACTTAGCTATTTTCCATTCCGCTGGGTGTACGCCGTGCCGGAGCATGGCGGAGAACATGTCTTGGATTATAGTTGTATTTGCTTTGACTATTGCTTTAATAAAGGTATAAGGAATGCCATCCGGGCCGGTCGCCGAGTGCGCTGGACAGGAGTCGATTGCTTTATTAAGTTCTTCGGGGGTGACTATGTCGAAGGTGTTGCTAAGGTCAAAAGAGGGGGGTCTAATGTTTAGGGGGGGATGGTCGGGGGACGTCCGTTTCGAGGGGAAAAGTTGGGCTCTTAGAGCTTGACACTTCCCCGCAAACGTTTCTTCACCTTGTATGGTTGGTATGATTGTGTCTCTTCTTCTTCCTACGTTTAGGATTCTCCAGACTTCACTACCTTTCGCCTCGTTCATCGTCTTTTCCCGCTGGTCCGCTTTTGCTTTCCGGATCATGACTGTCCATTCCCTGCAAGCCTTCCGGTGTTCCTCCACGTGATTGGGTTTCCTTGTGTTCCTCGCCTTCCTTTCTGCTGCATTTACCTTTGCCTTCATTTGTTTCATTTCATCTGACCACCAGGAGTTGGCTCTTACCCCCTCCTTCGAGAGCGGTGTTACTATGCTGACTGTTGACCTGACCAGTTCTAGAAAGAAATCAACAGTCTGTTCCGTAAGTTCCTTGGTTTCCCATGCCTCTGCAGGGATGGAAATGTTTGACATGTGGTTTTCCAATAGCTTCCAGTCTGTTTGTCGCCACATTCGTCTTGGTACAAAAGGTGGTTTCTCCAAGTGTAAGTGAACGGAGGTTCTCCCATGGTCTGAGCCCGCTCCATAGGGTTCAGTGCTCCATCGTAGGTTGTGATCGAGTATTGGGCCTTTTACAAATGTAAGGTCGATGGTTGTGGGCCTTTTCCCTCTGTCTCTGGGGAAATGCGTAAAGACGCCTGGTTCGTTCAGGAGGGACAGTTTCTGTCGGGTTATCCACCGTTTTAGTCGTGCACCATTGGCGCGGTCTGCCCGAATGTTGTTTCTGTATTCATGTGAATTTACTCCGTACCACATTTGATGGTGGCAGTTGAAGTCTCCCATTACTAGACAATTATCAAGGGTTTGGATTGTACTTGCTATCTGAGCGAAGGGGCCACTTCGGCCTGGGGAGTATATGTTTAGGATTTGGGCTTTCTTGTTCTGGATTTCTACCGTAATCGATACTATGAAATTATCGTGTGTGTAGTGGTGTTTTGGTTTGAGGTTGGCATGTTTGCGGACGTATGTTGCGCATTTTGTGTTGGTATTGCTGGCTGTAAAAATATAAAAGAGGTTCGATTCTGGTGGGTATCCCTCTGCTGAGGTCCATGGTTCTTGTAATAATAGGAAATAAATACTAGAGTCTGTTTCCGCTTCTTCTATCGCCGCCTTGGTAATGAGTTCGCTCCGTGCACAATTGAGTTGGTGTGCGAGCGCGGTGGTTCGCGGCCTAAGCATTATTTGTCATGGGTTGGTCTTCTTCGGGAACGGGTGTGGCTCCGACTGGGGCGGTGGCTGGTACTTGAACTATCGACTCTTGGACGGGTGCGGCCGGTGGGTCTTGAGCGGGAGGGGCGTTTTCTTTTCCTTTGTTAAGGAATCGGCGTTTGACTCTTTCGGGGCATGCTGGGTCGGAGGCCTTATGGATTCCTTTGCAGTTCAGGCATCTGATTGGGGTGTGGGTGCATCTATAACCTCCTTGGCATTGATTGCATGGGTGGAAGCTGGTGAGGTGATCTCCGGCACAATGACCGCATCTCCCATTGTTTTTGCATTTCTCCTGGCGGTGACCGTATTCGAGGCACTTCGCGCATTGGGTGTCTGGGAAGGTTGGGAGGAAGGCCTCGATGTGGCAGCTTCGGTTAAAGAGGGATAGGAACTTAACTCCTAGTGTTTCCATTGTGACTTGTCCTGGGAGCGCGATGACCATTGATGAGTGGGTTTTCTCCATTCGAGTCTCTGCTCTGGAGATCCAGCGGGGAACCTGGGCAAGTTGGAAGTTTTCTCCATAGTTGCTTCTAATTTCGGATGCTACCAGTTGTCCTGCCTCGACGCCTTCCCCGACCGTCGTGGGGATTCCGTGAATAAGGAACTTTGACCATTTGGAGTTTGCCCTGATGATAGCGACTGGTACTTGTAGGGTGAGGAGAGCCTCCTCGATTTCTTTGGCGTATTCCATTGCCTTCGATGCTGGGGTGACAAACTTTGTTTCCAGGATAAAGTTATCCTTGGGTGTTTTCCTTGCTGAAATGAAGTGGCAGGATTCGTCCTGAATTCTTGAATTGACTAGGGTCCTGATCTCGGAGGGATTGACGTCGGATGGGGCAGTGGTTTCGATAATGATTTCTCTGTTGATTTTGGTATATTCTGGCTTGAAGAGAGGATCCGCTTTTGGCTTTGCAGACTTCTTTCTTCTCTCAACAACCTGGAAACTTCCTTGGGCAGGACCGGGGGCCGAGGCCACGGCGGCCCAGGTGCCTGCTTTCCATCCACGGGGGGGGGCTTGTTGGGGGGGTGCGGGTTGGGGGGCCTGAGGAGCTGCCTGAGGCGCTCCTTGGGGAACTGTTTGGGGGACCGCTGGAGGGGGCATCCTCTGTCCCTGCGGTTGTTGTGGTTTTCGCTGTTGTTGCTGCGGTTGCTGCGGTTGTGGTTGTGGTTGTGGTTGTTTGTTGAGGAGAAGATGGATCGCCGAGTGCATGCTGGTGATCATACTTGTTTGCGCCTCGATTTGGTGCCTCATTGTGTCCACTGTTCTCCGGAGTGTGGTCGTTTGCTCTTCGAGGATTTCCATCCTGTCGGTGGGTGGGCAGATTCGGCTGGTGGCATGTCTAATGGCCCAGGTAATGTAATTCAGGTCAGTCTGGGTGTGAGTGTCCAGGGGAACGATGCTTGGGTAGAGGTAATCAATTCTCGGTTGGTATGGGTCATTGTAGTCGGATTGTGTTGCAAAGGTCGAGGAGAATTCTTGTTCCTGAGCTCCGGATGGGGTTGGATCGGGAACCGGAGTATTCCTGTTCTGCGGAGGGGCTGTCCCTTGCTGGGAAGACTGGGTGAAAAAGGACTGGAGCGAGGCTTGTTGCGACATAATTGAATGTCCAGTTCTTCTGGCGGCGTGGAGTGATGTTTCGGAAAGGTTTCTTTTCCTTCCCTTTGGGAGGTCAAGGCTGGAGAATTCTTCGCTAGAAGCCAGTTTTCGTAGGTTTTCTTTCGCTTGGAACAACAAAACGCGACCGTACGATCGGGGGCGAAGTGGCTCGACCTGGTATGGTATACCAGGGTAAACCAAGAGGAATAAAAATAAGAAGTTATGAAGCGAGGTTTGTTATCAGGGAGTTCTTTGCGAGCCTTAGCGAGCAAGTAGAATACAGAGGTTGCGTAAAGAGAAAAGGAAAGAAAAGAAAACAGAAGAAAGCCGAGACAACGCCCCTTTATATATCCAGACCTCAACCCACAATGACTCATCTTCTCACGTAACAGAAACAGAAAGAACATAATAGAAACTCGCTTAAAAAATCCCACACACACTGCACAATCCTTCCTTTACATACTCTGACACTTCGCATAACCGAAACGTATGGCTGCCATTACACTAGGCTTCATTGCGAGTTGAATTGGATTGAGTATTTTTGGAGCAGAGTAAAACTCTATACCAGAACTCATTGTCAATTCACCCTTGATTCCCTCAGGATCAATGTACCAAAAGCTCTCGAAGCTGTTAAAGAAGACCTTATTTGGAAATACTGGTGGAGATCTCAAACAATTCTCAAGGTCTATACAGATGGGATAACACATGGTTCATGTAACGGCAGCTATGTATTTCGGCTAGGTGATGAACTGGGATAAAGGAAGGAGGTATTGTGTAGTGGAATTAGGATTTGTAATGGGGACTTCTGTTATGTTCTTTGGGTTTCTGTTACGCGAAGGTATTAGTCATCGTTGGATTATGGGTGGATATATAAGGGGGCGTTGTTTCGTGCTTTTGTTTGTTTTCCTTCTTCTCTTTCTTCTTTACGCAACCTCTGTATTTATTCCACGAATACTATTCTTGTCCGCACTACGTCATAGGGCTCTAATCGGTTTATCATACCAGGTAGAGCCACCCATAGTCCATAGTCAAAGCATACCTTTACGTCTACGTCCACGTCTACGTTACTACCTAGGTTGTATTCCTTGGCACTACAGTCTATCGCCTACGATCCCCGTGATACGTAGGTTGCGTCCTCTATCGCCAACCAATACAATACCATAGTTTACAATGTCGGAACATGCATCTATTGATTATCAACAACTCAGCGATAGTCTCCAAGCCCTTTTTCAAGCGCATCCACAGGTCGATGATGCTGTTGGAACTGAAGCCTATGCACTCCTCCAACAGTGCCAACATGGTCTTGCTCAATATGCAACGGATTTACAGGAGGTAGAAGCGGAGGCCGAGAGGGCGAGGAGAAGGTTTGAGCAAGATCTTGCTGCTGCCCGAGCTCAACAGGCTCCTGTTGAGGCTGTCGCCCCTGTGCAAGCACCCAACGAAGACAATGTCCCACCTGCACCCCCAGTACCACCCGTTACAGATACTACCTATCGGTCGGAGAAGCTTCCAGACCCTGAGGTATTCAAGGGGGATCGTGATCGAGAAAGGTTACACCTATTTAAGCAACAAATGAAGATTAAGCTATTGGGAAATGCCGATCGCTATCCTACGCTACAGTCTAAACTATCCTATGCATTCAGCAGATTGGAAGGCGTTGCCGCTAATCAGTTTTTACAATATGTTGGCGAAGAAGGTATTGCTTTACCCTCTATGCTACGATTTTATGAGATTTTGGATACTGCTTTCGGGGATCCCGATCGGATGCGTACGGCTAGGAGGAATCTTAGGAACATCCGTCAACGAAATCGAACGTTCGCCGATTATTTTGCTGAGTTCCAACGATATGCTGCTGAGTCAGGTATTGATGAAGTCTCTCGGATTGAGGCTTTGATGGAAGGTATTAATGCGGAACTCGATGAATCAATGATACACCATGACACTCCTGCAACGGTAAATGCTTGTGCGACACTTCTGCAACGGTTGGATAATCGTCGCCGAGCGGCAGAAGCTAAGCGAGGAGGTAAAAAACCTTGGACTACTACTACTACTACTTCGGCCCCTCGTCCTCCACCAGCAAGTCCTGTTTCTGCTCCCCGCGCTGCCGCCCCAGTCGCCAATGCACCTGTTACTGAAAGTCATCCCTCATCCCGCCCGGGAGGTGATGTACCAATGGATCTATCTGGAGGGCGTCGTCGCCCCTCCCCTACCGAAAGAAATGCCCGCTTAGTTGAGGGCCGATGTTTTTATTGTGGAGGTGTTGGACATATGGTTAGAGATTGCCCCCAAGCGAGGGCAACTGGAAATCAACCAAGGAGGCCTGTGATGAGAGGAGCGGCGTTGACAGTGGAAGAAAATGACGGAAGCGATAACGAGTCAGCAAAAGATTTGTCCCTGCACTAAGTGGCTTAGCCCAGGGACCATTTAAGGATTTTTCTAGGATGTGTATTTCTGGTTTTTCGGTATCAGAGGAGGAAATGGATGGAAATCAACTTGTAGTAACTTGTTCGATTTCACAGAATAAAAATTCTTTTATACCTACCTACGCCCTTATTGATACCGGAGCATCAGGATATGCTTTTATTGATGAATCTTTTGCACGCCACAACAATCTTATAATGACCCCACTTAAAATACCTCGTCATGTAGACGTTATAGATGGAAGGCCTATTAAGTCAGGAAAAATTACCCACATCGTCGATGTCTCGTTAGACATTCATGGTCATCGGGAAGTTGCGCCATGTTTTGTAACAAAGTTAGGACATTATCCGATTGTGATGGGGATACCTTGGATGCGACGACATGATGTTACGATTCGACCAAAAGAAAATCTACTTGTTTTTGACTCTCGAAGCTGTTGTCAATACTGTTCACTCAGTGGAACTGCAGTTATTGTTCATGGCATCTCGATTCCCTTACCGGAACACCATACGGTCATCGTTTCAGCAACTGAAAAATCTACGGTCAACATTGAACAATTAGTACCGAAAGAGTTTCACCATCGTCTCCATATGTTTAAAGAATACGATGCTTCAATTCTCCCACCACATCGACCATCCCATGACATCGAGATAGTACTGGAAGAAGGTAAACGACCACCATATGGACCTATATATGGATTGTCTCAGATTGAACTGAAAGCACTACGGGAATATCTTAATGAAAATTTACCCAAAGGATTCATCCGAGCCAGTGAATCACCAGCGGGAGCACCTATATTGTTCGTAAAGAAAAACGATGGAACTCTTCGACTTTGTGTTGACTATCGAGGTCTAAATGCGATTACAATCAAAAATCGATATCCGTTACCATTGTTAAAGGAAACCCTAGCTAAGCTGTCAAGAGCAAAATACTATACAAAGTTGGATTTACGCTGGGGATATAATCAAATCAGGATAGCGGAGGGAGATGAATGGAAAACGGCATTTCGGACTCGATATGGACATTTCGAATATACAGTAATGCCATTTGGATTAGCTAATGCCCCTGCTACATTTCAACATTGGATCAATGATATTCTACGTCCCTACCTCGATCAATTCGTAACGGCATACTTAGACGATATCCTTATCTATTCCGAAACTTTATCAGAACATAAAGAACACATTCAAAGGATTTTAAAGGTACTTGATGAGAATCATGTTCACCTTAAACCTGAAAAATGTGAATTTATGGTTCAAGAAACGAAATATCTCGGTTTAATCCTTACTCCGAATGGGAATAGAATGGACCCAAAGAAAGTTATCGATGTCTTGGAATGGACCACACCAATAAATCTTCGTGATGTTCAAGTATTTCTAGGATTTGCAAATTTCTATCGGCGATTCATTCTAGGATATTCGAAAATTGTTGCTCCACTTACAGCCTTGACGAAAAAGAATGTTAAATTTGATTGGACGGATGAAAGGGAGGAAGCATTTCAAACTTTGAAAAAGATGTTTATAACGGCGCCAATCCTAGCTCATTTTAATCCGGATCGAAAGATTGTGATAGAAACCGATGCGTCCGACTATGTCTCAGCAGGAATCCTATCTCAACGCGATAACGAAGGAATCCTACATCCAGTCGCTTTCTTCTCAAAGAAACACTCTCCTGCAGAATGTAACTACGAAATATACGATAAAGAACTTTTAGCAATTATACGATGCTTCGAAGAATGGCGACATCATCTGGAGGGAGCTCAATTTCCAATTGAAGTTCTTAGCGACCATCGGAATCTTGAGTATTTTATGACAACAAAATTATTAAATCGTCGACAAGCCCGTTGGTCCGAATTTCTTTCACGTTTTGATTTCGTTATACAATTTCGGCCAGGAAAACAAGGAACAAAACCAGATGCATTAACTAGGAGGTCAGGTGACCTACCTAAAGAGGGGGATGAACGGTTGACGCATCAGAGTCAAGTGATTCTGAAACGAAAAAATTTGGATACTAAGCTAAGTTTGTTCGCGGGTTCTTTGTCAAATGAATCCGCTGAAGGAGCGTCCACTGTAGAGGAGTTATTTTTAAAAGCTTACCAAGTGGATAGTTTCCCAAACAAGGTCCTCAATATGCTTCGGAATGGCATACGCCACTCAAACAAAATCTCACTTGCCGAATGTATGGAAGATAACAACGGTCGGCTGCTTTATCGAGGCATGCTATATGTACCAGACGACGATGACCTTCGACTAAGGCTTTTAAAAGAATACCACGACAAACCATCTGCAGGACATCCGGGTAGAGCGAAGACTCTGGAACTCCTAAGTCGAGAATATTACTGGCCACAGATGCGGAAGTTTGTCGATCAGTATATTAGGAATTGCAATGTGTGCACCCGTAGCAAGGCATCACACAATGCACCTTATGGAGTACTTCGCCCCATGCCGATTCCCAATGGACCCTGGACAGATGTCTCGATGGATTTTGTGACTGATCTTCCTGAGAGCGATGGATACAATGCAATCTTGGTTGTGGTGGATAGACTAACCAAGATGCGACATTTAATACCGACGACTAAAGAGGCAAATTCAAGGGAAGTAGCGAGGCTATATATCGATAATATTTGGAAGTTACACGGATTACCAGATACTATTGTATCCGATCGAGGAACACAGTTCGTTGCAGAATTCTGGAGGTCGCTTTGTGATCGATTGGAAATATCACCAAAATTCTCTACCGCATTCCACCCTCAAACAGATGGACAAACGGAAAGAATTAATGCCGTAATGGAACAGTACCTCCGAAGCTATGTTTCCTATCAACAGGATGATTGGGCTCGAATGTTACCAATGGCTGAATTTGCAACAAACAATCATGCCTCCGAAACAACAAAGGTCTCCCCATTCTATGCCAATTCAGGAAGAAATCCAAGAATGACTTTTGGCCCTTTGGAACATGGTCGAACGACGGCGGAGGATCAAGCGAATCATATTGCAAGGGAAATGAAGGATGTAATAGATTTTCTAAAAGAAGAGATGTTTCGAGCGCAAAAGATACAAGAAGAATCAGCCAATAGGAATCGGACTCCAGCTCCTCGATATCATTTAGGAGATAAGGTTTTCCTATCGACTCGTCATATTCTAACCAAACGACCTTCCAAGAAATTCGACTGGAAACGTATTGGACCGTATAACGTTAAACGAATGGTCAATCCCTATACCTATGAATTAGAACTTCCTCGTTCGATGAAAATACATCCAGTATTCCACGTTTCGTTATTGTCGCCCGCAGCCAATGATCCCTTGCCCGGTCAGGAACAACTACCTCCACCTCCAGTTGAAACTGAAGGACAGGAAGAGTGGGAGGTTGAAGATATCTTGAATTCGAGGAAACGAAGAGGAAGATTTGAGTATTTGGTACGGTATATGGGATATGATGAAGCCTCCTGGCAACCACTATCGGACCTTGAGCATTCACCTGATATCGTTAAACGATTCCACGAACGGTATCCAGGAAAGCCCAAGCCTACCAGGAGGTAGGCCTTAGAGGGGGGCGTGGTCTGTAACGGCAGCTATGTATTTCGGCTAGGTGATGAACTGGGATAAAGGAAGGAGGTATTGTGTAGTGGAATTAGGATTTGTAATGGGGACTTCTGTTATGTTCTTTGGGTTTCTGTTACGCGAAGGTATTAGTCATCGTTGGATTATGGGTGGATATATAAGGGGGCGTTGTTTCGTGCTTTTGTTTGTTTTCCTTCTTCTCTTTCTTCTTTACGCAACCTCTGTATTTATTCCACGAATACTATTCTTGTCCGCACTACGTCATAGGGCTCTAATCGGTTTATCATACCAGGTAGAGCCACCCATAGTCCATAGTCAAAGCATACCTTTACGTCTACGTCCACGTCTACGTTACTACCTAGGTTGTATTCCTTGGCACTAAAGTCTATCGCCTACGATCCCCGTGATAGTTCACCAGAGATCTATAAGGCATATAAGATTTACAAAAGTCATAGAAGACCTTCAGAAGTGGGACTAGGACTACACGATGGGCTTAATATTCCTTCTAGTAGGCAGGAGGAAGCTGAAGTAATGGTGGAGGCCGATACAGAAAGAAAGCTAAGGGCTGATGGTAGGAAATATTTACTTTGAAATTGTGAAATGATCTTATTGTACCTTTATTTTTGGTTTTAGGAAAAAATGGACTTCAAATTTGGATTCCTTGCGTAATTTAGGTCCTAGAACAATATATGAACACATGTAACGATTGGGTGGTTGATCTCTAGACCCGCCCCGTTAAGGTACTCGAAGGGGGACGGGGCGAGGATCACAGGATATCACTCTCTGTCTTGGTGGATCGGTTGTTGCAACCCATGCGGGCGTGACACCTCCAAAGTCTGAGCCGGTGTGGGCTTATGACTTTTCGAGCCATATGTAAACCATGAAGACGTTGTCCGATCATTGACATGAGGTCTTTGCGCGCCACCATGTCTCACTTCTCTTAGCCGAATTAATAAAGTACTGGGTCCGAGTCCGCATCGCCAGACTAAGGGATAAAACTCGCCTTTATTGGTCAAGCCTCATATGCAAATTTTACTATTTTTCGGGTTTTGGAGTTTGAATACTATCATATCTATGATCTCTACTTGAGTCTACTACAGTACTGTACATCATCATAAAAGTTGCTATTTTAACACTTCACAAATGATCAAGAGAATTATTCAGTATTATCAATTGCTTTTATGACGGGGGGCGGGTCGTTTTTGATCTCAGCGAACTGTACCCTACCTTGCAAGAATCAAAGTAATACAAATACTTCTCCGATCTAATTGGTCAAGCCCCATTTTTTCACTTTTGATTGAACTAGAGTAGGTTACGGATTTCCACATTTTCGCACTTCGAGTATTGCAAGGTTAATATTTAATTATCATTAGTTAGCAAACCTTTACGACTACTGACAATCTCACCAACACCTCTAGAGAT